TGTCAGCGGGACGAGCCGGAGGGGAAATTAAACCCAGCGAACGCTGAGGCTGGACCACACCTGCCTGCAGCAGACGGGGTGGTTTTCAGAAGGGGACATGGCCACACAGTGAGAAGTCACTGTGCTCTATGGATAAAAAGGCTAATTTTGTTTACTTGGAATAACAGGGCCTTACTAGTAAATGCTCACGAAGTATGTGGCATTACCAATGAAATAAGACACGTATTTTGCCTGATCACGACTGATCACCCATCCAAGAGTCAGCCTGAAATGCACCTCATTTGCTCTCCACCCCATTTCAAAAGTATCTGTTGACTCGTCCATAAAGCGAGACCTACCGCAGAACTCGTACAGCATCGAGTCGAAGTCAGCGGCTCTCCACCAAGAGGCTGACTTGCATTTTGAAATGCTTGAATAATGATGGTGTTTGCTGGACCCAGGATCCAGTGGCGGGTTGTTTGCAAACTCCCAAAGGAACCGAGCGCAGAGCAAATATTATTCCAAACGACCAATTCTCCCAGCTCTAGGGTGAACTGTGCGTATTTCTTGCTTGGAAAAGGAATGCGTTTCGCTACCAGAGCTATGAGCTAGTCCCTGTCTCTGGTTTCAGGGTTCGACACCTATGGGCTTCGGGATGGACAGGCAGCTATAGCCTCAGCCTCCGCTGCCGGGCTCGGAGAGCCTCGACCTGCCTGGGCTCCCTCTCGGAGAGGGAGTGTGCCAGTCACACAACGGCAAGGTCAGGAGCACGGAGTGAGGGAAACGTGAAGCCAGCTCTGCACGGGGGAGTTGTTTGCGTTTGCCACCGAGGGAACATTTCGGCGAGCTGTCCTGGGACAGCCCAAAGGGAATTTGCTTTGGCCTCCTAACACGCTCCTTGTAGGCAGAGAGTGAGCTCAGAACTGAGCCCTGGCTTCTTGCAACTGAAATGCATTTTGCTGAGCTAATGAGCAGAAAAGGCAAGTCAGGAGGAGACAGAAAGGGAGGAAGAGATGGAGGAAGGCAGGAGAGAGGGAGCTAGTGAAAATGTGCCCCGTCGGCAACTTTGTCTGAGGGTTGCACTTCGTTACTCGTGTGTTATTCTATGGTTATTCTACCAAACTGGTGCAATCACACCAAGCAAAACCAATGCAGGAGCGAAGAATTATACTCCAATCTCCTTTTATAGTAACACCGCTTACTTTCTCCTGCCCCTTAAACAGAAATAAAAACAATCAAGTGAAATATATCTCTTGTTTAAAATAGTCCAGGGAGTTTTAGGAGCTGCTGTTCCCTCCCCACCTGCCCCCAAAGGAAAGCACAGCAATCTTCCTGCACTGGTTTGTGTCACATGGAAATGGTAATTTTTTATTTTTTTAATTAAAATAGGCCTTGCTAGGCTCTGTTCTGAGCCTCTTCGCAAAGAAGAAAGAAGACAGTCTACGGTTACACAAAGGAAAGCTCTTCGCAATCCACTGCTCTTAGAGCAGGGGATGCATGATACAGCTGTGATCTCTGATTTTTCATGCACCTTTCTGCCATTTTTACATTATTTTCTCATCCATCCAAATAGCCCCAACCATTATAGTACAAAGTACAATTTTCTGACCATCTTCTTGGCTGCTTTATTTAGTATTTACTTGGCATTTGTAAGCAATGGGCTTCCTTACTCATGAGGCAGAATATATGACATTTCAGCAGAAGCCCAGTGTTAGCTTTAACCAGGTGAAAAAGAAGCTGGAAGGAAAGAAAGGAAATGTCCTCCGATACCACACCTTCCCGTTTGCACCTTTCTGCATTCCTTCCTGGCAGACCGTCCCCTTTACACGAACACAAATGGTCTTCATCAATGGGAGGAAATGGGGACTGGATATTTTTTGTAATTCTAAAATTACACGGATTGCTTGCATAATGCAATAAAGTCCAGACAGCGCAACACATTCCAGCTAACAGCTGCGCAGCCAACGGCAACAACAGGAGAGGACTCCCTTCCGAAAGCTAATGGGTTCCTGTCTTCTCCAGTCCAGGTAGGGCCCTTCCTTGCTGGGGAACCAACCACAATGTGTTCAGCCACAAGCAGTCAGGGACCAGTCATTTAATGCTGGCCAAAAAAAAAGAGTCCCCCAGCTGATGTCAAGGACAGTTGCATCCTTTCCACTGAGCGCTCTCCCAGCTGACCTGGGGATGCATGGCAGACCTTTCCTGGGCTTTTCTTTAGACCTGCTCTCTCCATGAGGCCAAAGGCTGAGCCTCATCACCTGCCAGACCTCCGTTTTTGCAAGCAGAGTGATCCCATCTCCTTACAGCCCGGACGGGCTTTCGCACCGCGCTGCTGAGCGCACTACTTGTAACCCTGTGTGAGCCCGGGGATGAACGGCTGAAGGAAACCATGAATGAGAGCATTTCCCTGGACTGGCGAAGACAGCCCTTGCTGCTCCGTCCTCAGAAGCCTGCAATTACATGTAACATAAATAGGACTCCTGATCTGCAGGTTTTCACAAGTGACACTCAATTAATATGATTCATTAGTTGTAATTGACTATAATGGAAAGGTTTAAAATAACAGTTGTTCTTTTCAGAGTCATGCAACCAACAATTCAGGAGCCACTTTCCTCTCTCCCTGTCTAGCTTGTATCTGCAGCAGCGTCACCAATGGGTGGTATAACAGCAGAGAGAGATTTCTGGAGACCACCAGCTGATCAATTATTTTAAGTGAGTTCCCAGGCTGAAGCAGTTCTCCAGCAATCCCACACGGGAGCAGCTTCCCGCTGCTCACACCACGCCAACACGTTTCCCTTGGGGCGGCTACTGCAAAATCTCTGACTAGGTTTTCTTTTGGCCATGCCCTCCTTTGGAAAGGACACGGCCAAGTACAGCGTGTCTCTGCCTGATCGAAAGGTTGCTCTGAAGAGCTGGAGAAAAGCCAAGAGTTCAAGCAGATTTAAAAGGAAGAAAGCCATCCCCGGAGGCAGAGCGGCACACTGTCAGCCAGGTCAGGTAGCCTTAGCCTTGGTTAGACGTTTATTCTGTGTGGCCTGGGAAAGCCTTCTGTCCATCAGGAAAGGCACTGTGAAAGGGCACACGGGTGTCTGGTAATGCCACAGGGCTCCTTCTTTCTCCCACGTCCTCGTCCCCTGACCACCCAGGTGCCTGAACCAGAACCCAAGGCTGACAGGACATGGTAACACTGCACTGGGGTATCGCTGGGGTTTGGGACTGGTTAACCGGTGGGACTTCTCAGATATCTCCTACAGGTTCTCTGCTGGCAAGTTAAGCCGTGGTCTGTTCAGGTCAAGGACAGTTGCATCAGCCCTCCAAGCCACACTGACACAAGCCCTGCAGCCCCATCAGATTGCTCTGCATCTGCGCCTCTGTGCGTCCAAAACAGGGCGGCCACATCCAACCTCCTCGGCAGGAGTGGTCCCAGGGCCATGCCAATTCCCAAACTGTGCTCAGCGTTTTTTCGGAAGCGTGGTAGATGGCCTGAACCACAGACACCTTGTTGATTGCTCCTGCAGTTTGAGACGACGGTGGGCCAGTGCCCTCAAATGTCCCCAGCACAGTTTAATTAACCAGCATGGAGATACCCCAAGGATACAGCACACTGTGGGGGACAGCACTGGTGAGCTTTGGTATCCGAAAACTGAGACTTAAAGCACCTCGAGGGTCCCAGCGGTCAGGGCTGCCCGGCGGGCACGGCGTCCCCAGCCCTGAGAACCCCCCGCGCCGCGAACCCTCTCCGCGGCACGAAGCGGAGCCAACCCCGCTCCTGCCGCGGGCTACGCAGGGAAACACGCTTAGTGATTTTTAATTACCTACGAAGCAGGAAGCATGTGACGCTGCCCACGTCCCAGGAACCAGCCCCTTCCCCATAAAGCCTCTGATGGACTTGAACTCAGCAGGGGACCGGGGTGATAAGCGCTGTTTGTTGTTCCCGCCGAGTTAA